TCTTCGGTGACAGAATCTATGGATGATTGCTACGACATGGTCTATGAGCGGCACAAGTTTTCTATAGTCGTATATCAGAAATTATTTTTGCTAGTTTTAATGAGCGTGTCTTCTTGTAACTTGTGTTCACGGAAGCCGGTAGCAGTGAGGAGAAAGTGGCGAGAGAGGAGAAAGTCACATTTACTGTTGTACGATATGTATTGCTGAGCTTATATACATAAAGCTAGCCGGGTAATTTTGTTTGACACTCACAGATTTCGTTTTAGGCTGTAGGATCGTCTCGGTCGTTCTTAAACCCCCTGTACTCGGATCCCACGCGAAGTGTAGCAGATGTTTATTTTGCGTGTACCTGTGTAGATAACTACGCCCGATGCCCCTCTGGGAATCGTGTTAATTATGCAAGGTTTTAAACACCAAATTGCGAGCTGTGTATTTATGCAGCATGTTCATACGGGCTATATTCATTGTTGCGATAGAGTAACTAGTCTCAGAGCCGAGTTTTCGTTTTTTCTCGATTTAAATATTTTTGTTCGTGTGTAGGGAGGGGGAGGTGGCGCCCGTCCCTCGCTGCTGCGAGGATGTAGCTGGTGTCTCTGCCCTCCCATGTGTAGTTTGAAGTGTCTTTGTTGTAGTTTGGCGTTTTGTATGATAAAGTGCGAGAGTGATTGATAATAACTGTGTGCACTGTTTGTATATGTTAGACGGCCGGGAGTAGGCACGGTGTTGCTGCCTGTGTTGCATTGCAGTTGTCGTGGGATCGCGCAATTCGGACAGAGCTGCCCTCTTGTTACCCGTCTGCTGTAACAGAATAATGCGCGCTTCGGCGATGGGCAGCCAGCGTTCATATAGCTCTAGTACTATCGCCTTCGCTGCTACACGCGTAACGAGGGCTGTAGTACTAGCTAGTGCTAGCGTGCAACGGCCCGAATCGCTAGAAGGTGATGGGGCCTTGTTGGCGTACACGCCGTCATTGTGTTGCTTTCGCTAGAGTCGACAGACGCGTTTGTAAATAACTGGCGTAGTCGGTATCTGTCATGTGCGTGCGCGCGCGTCTCCCCGCAGCATCCGTGGCTGGCACTCCAGGCGTTATCGTCATGGCGACACGGCCCTCGTGCGCGGCGGTTTGAGAGAGTGTTGGGCCACAGTTGCATTGATGCCTATGTTGCTGTAGGCAGTAGGGGCCGACACGCGTAGCGTTGACGCCATGTTGTTGTAGACTAATAGGGGACAGCCCATCGCGTGACACCATGTTATATGCCGGTAGAGCCCAGCATGTAGCATCAACGCCATGTTTCTGTTAGCCGGTAGAGGTCAGCACCGTAGCATCAAACGCCATGTTTTCTGTAAAGCCGGTAAGCGGTCCTGCCACCGTAGCGTTGATGCGCACGTTGCTGTACGCCGGTAGAGGTCAGCACCGTAGCGTTGACGCCATGTTGTAAATAGCACGCAGATTAACACGATGCGCGTAACGTTGTTGTAACCTGTTGTAAGAAGCGCACGCTAACGCCGCCGCACTGTGCCACCAAACGATTAATATACGTGCTGATAATTACTGTATCGAAAACGATCAGGGCGACGGTAAACGTGCAAAATAGCGAGTTTGAATATTACGAGCCACGTGGCGGCGATTTTAGATAAATTTGGCTCATTAAATGCTGATCCGCCTGACAGTGCAAAGCAGTTGTACCCTCTGTTGCACCATTTCTATCAAGGGAAGCCGTGTGGCGCCCTCTTCAGTGTACATTTTGTAGCTGGTGAAAATGCAAATCTGTACAGATAGCGACTGCCAGATGAATTGGAATCTTTGTAATAAAGGTTTTGGTTTAGATTATTTTGCGATATTCATATTTTGTATAGACTTATTTTGTTGTTCTCATCACCTTTTAACAATGCATGCATTCACTCCACAAACACAATATAATAACACCCAGTTATCTTATATATAAATATATTTATTCGGGGTACCCACAGCTCTTGAAAATATATATTAACCTATTCCAAGTATTCGATAAAAATGTTAAATTTAATCCAAAATTCACATGTCATTATCTACAAATGTACTCTACCAAAAGTAGTTTGTGTTTTCCCTAATTTTTACGTGCAGGTGGTGTAGGGGTCTCATTTTAATTTATTACTACGTGATCATATTTTTGCTGCACAATTGTGTCAATTTGTGTGTAGGAGAATACCACACTGAGTACAATAAAAATTGTTATAATACATAGTCACGCATAAATCCCTGTCCATGCCACCCATGACTAAAAAGAAGGAAAACAACTAGTTTTAGCAGATACTGTTTGCTGTTAATTTTGGATTAAATTTAATATTATTTGTAAAGATCTTCGGGA